ACAGATTACATGTAATCAGTTACTACCCAGCACTATATATAAATACCAATTCATTTTGTGATTCCAAAAAATAAAATAAAAAATCTACCAAATCTAAATCTTGGTGTTCTGGCACCTTATGTAAAGCCGTACGTGAAAAATCTGGGTGTGGTGTTGGACAGTGCCTTAAAGCTTGATAGGCAAGTTAACCAAGTTGTGAAGTCAAGCTTCTATCGGTTGCGAACACTGGTAAAAATGAAGTCCCTTCTTTCTTTTACTAATTTTGAAAGAGTAATCCATGCTTTTATCACCACGAGGCTTTGACGAAGGAGCGTCTGGCAGGCTTGCGGCAACCACGTGTGACGACCCCGTGCTGGACTCCGCTTCGTCCACGGTGAAAGCCGCAACTTTACAGATCTTCTTTATGCACCAAGAGCTTGTAACACTCCAAAGAGAAAGGAAAAATTGAAATCGCATCATATGACCCCTTTAACACAGAATTGACCACAGAGGCCTGGGGTCAGCTTCCTTTGCGGTTCATCCAGAAATTCAAGAAGTGGATGGGCGATGACCTGCCTTAATCCAAGATGTGATTTATCTTGGATTAAGGCAGGTCATCGCCAGGGAAGTTCCATCCTTAACAAAAAGCCATGTTATATCGGCTCTTCCAGTCTCTCCACTGCTGGCTGTTCCAGTTTAATGAGAGAGAGGAGCAAGAGGGGTTAGGATCGTAACCGGCCTCTGACGAGCTGTTACCACCACCATCTTCAGTCAGAGAGGACTTTATTTCTTCAGCTTCTTCTTGCGTTGTCACCCGGCGGGAGGTGTGCTAACAGGGTTTGCAGCAGGTGAATCAGTCGTGCTATTAACGTCATCACTACACAATTTCTTAGTAAAACCAAAATGAATTAAACTGCCTTGTGTTCTTTTTGCCATGGTGGCTATAGGATGCTAACTGCAGAAGGGACTCAAGGACTTCACGCGCAGATCAACGGCCTCCAACGTTTATATTTTTTCTACGAATCTTTGAGTTAACGTACTAAGGGGAGCCCATGTCTTATTAAGGGGAGCCGAGCTCCCCCTAGCTCCCCCGTAGTTCGCACCCTGCCTGTCCTTCAGTCTTTACATTGGTTACCTGTGCGCTACAGGATTAATTTTAAAGTGCTCTTATTGGTTTTTAAGTCTTTAAATGGTTTAGCACCCTCATACCTCTCTGATCTGTTGACCACCAACCTGCAAGAGCGCTTAGGTCTGCCAATTTTAGTGATTCCTAGAACCAGACTCAAGTCTAGGGGTGATCGAGCACTCACGGTAGTTGTGTTTAGTTGTGCTTTATAAATAAATTGAAATTGATGCAGGAAAATAATATTCAGTTCAAGATGGCCACACATATTTTAATAATTTATTAGGTTAAAATAGGCTACTCAGTTTCAGGTCTTCTTAGACGTTTATAATAAATAACCTTATAACGCTTTGTTAACTTAATAACAGATTATTATTAAGGTAATTATTATTTATAACTTATTAAAATAAAAAACTTTACTTTTTTACTTTTGTTTAAATAGACACTGACTGTTAAAAAGTATGTGACGTGCGCATATAATTTTTATGATAGGATGTTTGCTAATTTAAAACCCATTTAATCCCACTGGTCACAATAGTAACCGTAAAGAAGGTTTTCATTTATAAAGCTCTAAAAACCTTACTGACTGGTGTTTTAGTGCACTTCCTGCAAATATGGAAAAAATAAAGGGTCTCAATGAAATATGTGCCGTTTCACATGATTAGTGCAAATTGTCACATGACCAGAGCACCTTGAGAAGATGATAACTGCATCAAAGCTCCAAAATAAAAGGCTAGTAAAGTATGTTAACACAAAGATATGACAAAGATTTTGGTACACATTATCTTTAAGGTGTCTAGTATTAATATATGAATTCACAATTATTCAGTTTTGTTGAGTGTGGACATGAGTAAACATGTTGATGGCAACAATAGTGACCAGTGGGATAATAACACATTTTTTTTTGTATCTTAGTATACCTATTCAGTTTTGTATAAGTTTTTTTATGTATAATAGTAACCATAGAATGTGATGAAACAGTTTAAAATGGGTTAATAACTGGGCTGAGATATATAAGAATGTATACACATTATTCCACCCGTCACTAACCATAAAACACACACTTTTCCATTAAAAAAAAAAAAAATAAAAAAAAAAAAAATATATATATATATAATATAAATGCATCATTAATAAATAT